TACGCATAGTAACAAGACAAACGATGACAGACAAAAGCAATTCATGTCAGGAACTTATCGGCAGCCCCTCTGATGCCTGATACACAACAAGTTCCTCTCCACAAAGTTCAGCGAGGTCAGGCGTCCCCGAGCAATGCTGTCCGAGGGGTACCGGGAAGGACCCTGGAATGCAGTTCTTGGGCTCCTCAAGGTCCACGGGCACACTGATCCAGGCAACAGCTAACTAATCCTTTTCACAGAGCTGCATCTTCCTTCTGAATGGCTTCCAGATATTCCAGCTAATTTATAGCTTCTGAAGGACACTGATAATGTATGACCACTTAGATTCCTTTTTCTTCAACTGTCCTTAGACTGACCAATAGCAGTACAAGCCTTGCATTCCTTTGATAAGGTAATTTTAACTGCACCACAGGGCCTTATTACTTCAAGGCTTTGCTAAATTTACTAGGCCTTACTTTATACAAGACCTCACTACATCTTAAATATTAATTAGGCTTTTAGCAACAACATATAGCTTAATATCTAAACAAATACAGAAAAACACTTGGTCTAATCTTCATAGAGCCTTCAGCAAGCACCGTTATCTCACAGACGTACTTTTCAGCTGCCACAGGGGACTCCCCTGAGGTGAGGGACTCCAATCCATCCAACCCCCTCTAGCTCAGGCTGGGCAAAGCTCAGCCTGAGCTCCCTCCCCTCCCTTCTCCCCCCTTCCTATTGTGCAGATAGCGCTGGGGCTAGAGCTGGGCTGCATCAGCCCAGCCGCCCAATCAAACGCAAGTTATTGAAGACGCTCCACTTTGGAACACCTTCATTTGAACCCTCATATAATGAGAGTTAAGTTGTCACACAATTGGGGACTTTTAAATCACTCTGCAACTATGCACTTCTATTAGAGCATGGCTATAGAGTGCACTTGAGGAGCCAATCATGTGACAAATTTAACTTCTGTCTATGCCCTGTATGTCCTTTTATAAGTGTCTGTTGCTCCATACAGATGAGAGTTCAGTTGCCTCTTTGACATGTAGCTGAGGAGATAGAAACATATGCTGGGAAGTAGAGAAAACAGAGTTTGGTGGATGAAGATATGGTTCTCCCCCTGCTCTAATATCTCTTCCATAAAGCTCTCATCTGGGGTTCTAAGGTACTTGTAGCCAAGGCAAATATATAATAGTGAGTTTCTAATATAGCTGCACGGCCAATGAATCTAAGTTAGGGGCTGCTAAAACTATATTATACTTTGTATTTTAAAAGTAGAAGCTCACTTATTTCAAAGAGTGACTCATGTAAGTACAGTTAAGCAACTGTATAGAGTTTACAGAATTGGTACCCCAAGTCCTCCAAGCTGGGAGCTGTAACAGACTCATATCCTCTCCAGTCCAGGCATTGAGATGGACTTATAATGCACACTGAATAATGGGCTTCATCTTAGAACTTATCTTGTTTCTTCATACTTTTACTGGTAATCTTTGCCTATTGCTTTTTATTGCCAAAATTATTTTTATTGCTTATAATTATAACTTATCTTTACAGCTCTATGTAATACTTCTTTATTTTTCGTTAGAATCATAGAACAGGAAAGGGCCTGTACAATCATCAAGTCTGGTACCCTGCCATGCGCAGGAAGTATTGGGCTCAGATGAGCTTGGCAAGGTTTGTCCTTATATCCAACCTCAATTTATCTTCTATTAATTTATGCCCATTGGTCCTCGTCCTCCCTTTAGGTACCCTCCTGAATAGTTGCTCTCCTAGTTCTTGATGCTTCCCTCTGAGGAGCCCAGTTCCCCAGTCTGTCCTCATAGGGCCTACCCTCCTTGCCCTTAATCAAACTGGTGGCCCTTCTTTGTACTCTCTCAAGCTTATCTATGTCCTTCTTGAAGTGTGGTGCCCAGAACTGGGCACAGTACTCCAGCTAAGATCTCATCAATGCTGAATAGAGAGAAAGGATTACCTCCTTGGATCTATTGGCTACACAGTGGCTGATGCAGGCCGGAGTTGTATTGGTCCTTTTGGCAGCCTCGTCACACTGTTGGGTCATATTTATCTTCCAGTTGATCGTTGCTCCCGGGTCTCGTTCAGAAGTTCTGCCAGCCAGTAGGCCACCACTCATTGTATAGTTGCGGTGAGGGTTCTTCCTACCCAGGTGAAGGACCTTGCTCTTCTCTCTGTTAAACCTCATCTGATTTCATTCTACCCATAAGTCCAGTCTGTCAAGGTCCTCCTGGATCTTTGCCCTATCCTCTGGTGTGCCTGTGTTTCCCCACAGCTGGTGTCATCTGTGAACTTAATCATTGCACTTTCTACCCCTTCATCCAAATCATTAATGAATATATTAAATAGCCCTGGTCCAAGCACCAATCTGTGGGTGGACCCCACTGGAGACAGTCCTCTAAGATGAGGCCATCCCATCAATCACCACTCTCTGGGAACGGCCCCTGAGGCAATTGCCACTTCACTGTAGACTGATCCAGCCCAGTATTCTCCAGTTTGTCAGAGAGAATACCATGGGAGACAGAGTCAAAGGCTTTACTGAAGTTTAAGTAGATGACATCAACCTTGTGTCCCTCATCCAGATGATTAGTGACCTGGTTGTAGAAGGACACAAGGTTCATCAGGCATGATCTGCCCTCAACAAAGCCATGCTGGTTGCTGTTTAGCACCCCATCCATTACCAGCTTGTAGTTGATGGCCTCCTTAACCAACTTTTCAAAGTTTTTATCTGGGCCAAGGTCAGAATGACTGGCCTATAGTTTGCAGGGTCATCTCTCTTCCCTTTCTTAAAGATGGGTATCACATAGGCCCTCTTCCAGTCATCTGGGACCATTCCCGAGTTCCACAACTCTTCAAATAGTTTGGCCAATGGTGCTGCTATAAGTTCAGCTAGTTCTTCCAGGACTCTTGGGTGCAGGTAGTCTGTCTGGTCCAGTGGACTTGAAGATGTCCAAGCATTGTAAAAGATCCTTCACCCTGATTATTTTCAGTAACTCTGATTAACCCTACTGTGCATTTCTTTCATCCATGATAACTTTTACTTCTTTAGTATGTACTGAAATGAAAGCTCTTCTGCTTTTTTTAAAAAGAAGAATTCAGACTTTGACTTCAAAAATTAGTTTTACTTTTGTATCTGTTTCACTTACCTTTAAATATTGGCACACTTTTTACAAGAACTATGCACAAATGCCCTCTCAGTCCATTTTTAAGAACTGATTTATTCAGTGGATTTATTTATATTAAATAGAAAGTATATCCAGTTACTATCTAGATAACGCAATTAACCTACATCCATTTGCTTTCCCTTTAACCCTATCTTTCTGATTCACCTCTGTTTTCTTTCTCTGTAATACAGGTCTAAGTACTGGGAAGAAAGATTAAATCCATGTACACTGAACCTGTAGAGTTCTCAGTAGATAATGGTCTGGTTCCTTTTGATGATTTGAGTATTTTTCTCAGCTGACATCAAGAATACACTGCAGTACAATACTGTAGGAAAAATTATTTTTTTCAAAAACACATGAAAATGTTTAAAAGGATGCATGCAGATCTTTCCCCCTTCAAATCTCCAAAGAAAATTTCTCACAGGTTAAATGATTCCAGTCAAGATCTTAGCCATGAGTTATGAATCTGTTCTCCATTAATCTGCTCAGAAGCAGTTTAACAACAAAGATTTATCTTAACACTGTTTGAGAAACATTTCTACATACTAGTGATAACTTTCTTCAGTCAAAAAGGGATGAAAATATTTGCAGTTCAGAAAAAGATATACAGCAAAAGCTTTGTTATCTGGTACCCATGGGGAACTGGGGGTGCCGGATAATAAAATATACTGGTTAATTCAGAGGCCTGAAGAGGTGTCTTTGCCTGCTTGGGCTGCCGCCCCTCCTGCCACACCGCTGCCCCTCCCATGGGCCCCACGGGCCCTGAGGGACAGGGAGGCAGGCCCTGCGCAGCCTGCTGTGCCCTGGGCCATGGGGGCTTGGCAGTACAGGCTGCTTTGCCCCGGGTCATGGGGGCTCGGCGAAACCAGAAATGCCACGGTGGGCACTTCCAGTTTCACTTTTGCCTTACAAGCTGGTATGCTGGTTAATACAGCATGCCGGCTTGTAAGGTGGTGGATAACGTGGCTTTTACTGTACTGTATTTTCTTGCATACAACACGCACCTTTACCTCCAAGATTGAGGTTCATGTGTTAA